AGAGGGGCCCAAAGGAAGTGCCTAACACAATGCCTAACACTTTAACCAGTGAAGGCATGTATTCAAAATGTGTTCTCAGGAAATGAGACTGTTATTTTTATTTTTTTTAGGACAAGAAATGCAGTAGAAATGTAATTGAGGCTAATTATCAGAAGGTATGACAGGAAGCACACTCACCTTGTATAATACAGAGCTACAGGTAAGGGTTATGGGGCATACGGTGTTTGCCCACCATTCCAGCTGGCTCAGTCTTAGCAAAACCCAATGTGCCAAAAATGGAAATAACACAAACATTCACCAACATTGGAATGAATAAATAAGTTATGATACTTCATTCAGTGAAATATGAATGAGTTGAAATGAAAATGAATTATGTAAAACTACATGTAATGACAGGAATGAATCACACAGTAATGTGGGATGATGAAAGAAGCCAGACGCACATACATTCTCTTTAAATGCATGCGTATGATTCTATTTATATAAAATTCAGAAGTAGGGGCTGCGGTTGTGGCTCAGTGGTAGAGTGCTCGCCTCCCATGTGCAAGACCCTGGGTTCGATCCTCAGCACCACATAAAAATAAATAAGTGAAATAAAGGTGTTATTTATAACTACAACTAAAAAATAAAATATTTTAAAAATTCAGAAGTAAGTAAATTTCATCTGTAGTGTTAGAAGTCAGGAGAGTGGCTCCTACTTGGGTAGTGTGGATAGATAATAGGAGGAGGCACAAGTTGGATTTCTGGGGTGCTGTTAGTGTTCTGTTTCTTAACCTGGGTGATACAATGGACATATTCCCTTGGTGGTAAATTATTGCAGAATACTTAATGATTCATATATGTAAACCACATGTATAGCAGTATTTAAAGAAAGACTTAGATGAGGCCTTGCTTATCCATCTGACAATTGGGCTTGCAAGAGCTGAAGAATCCTCAGAATCCCTGCCTAGCATGTTAGGTCAATTTCTACAGTTAGGGAAACTAACTGTAACAATGACAGATCACAATGGTTCTAAGTCTAGCATTTATCATACTCATACTCAGATAAAACCATAGTTCCTCCATGCAGGAGATGTCCTATTCCAAATCTTAGAGTCTTGTTCACCTTTGAGGCTTCATTGATTCTCTTATTCATTCTACTGTCATTGACTTTGTACAGAACTTGTGTAACAGTCTTAACTTTTAGGCTGGTATGAAATGGCAGCCAGAGTAGAGACCACACTCAGTATTGACTCACCTAATGCCTGATCTTGGGAACAAGTGCTACAAAATTGGAGAACCAAGATTGCTGGCATCCTGGGCTGATTTGCTCAGGGGCTCGGTGAGCCAGAACAGGCAGATTAAGTCTAACCAACACAGGCTTTAGGGTTGATAGTGGAGAGTGGTGTGTTGAATCTTGGATTTGTATTTTTAATTCTTAGGAGCCACTCGGCCTCCTCTGCTAGTTCATGTCCTCCCTAATGGGTGTAGTGGAATCAGCACAGGCTGTGGTACCATGGCCCTGATTTTCAATCTAGTTTCTCAAAAGGGCAAGGTTCCAGGCCATGTTTTGATGGACCTCTTTCTCAACTGTTGGCCTCTGTGGAAGAGACTTGGCTTAATGAAGAAGGTAATGAAGGGAGGCTTTTGGAAAGAGCCTAAATAGGATCTAAAAAGGTCTAAACAGGATTGGTGTTGACATAGAGGAGCCCAAGAGAGAAGGGGATTTTCTTGGCGTCCATACCACAGCAGCAGGAGCAGGGTAGGAAGATGCACTGGATAATATGATAGGAAGAAACGTTAGGATAGGAGAGCCTTGAGGACTCAGAAGGCAGAAAGCCAAGTCAGGTAGTCACAGGCAAGGTGTGGGGGGTCACAAACTTGCTACCAACCTGCTCTTCAGATGCAAGTTTTGTATTTTTAAAGCACAGTCAGTCACACTCACAGAGATAGTGAGGAAAGAAGCCTGCAGTGATTGACCTGGGACCCAATATGCAAGGCTGACTTTCTGCTAACTGGACTCCAAATATTTCAAGCCTTTTGCTGCTATAACATCATGAAAAGCAGACTGTTGACTCCATTGGATGTTCCAGCCTGAGTTGAGGTAGTACATAAGGAGGGTTGGCTTACCCTTGCTCAAGATCCTTTTGGAGAGTTGAGATCAAAATCCAATGGAGAGTTGACTCAGAGAGATAAAAAAAAACAACTCCATCCCTAATCTAATGTTTGCCAGCCATAAAAACTGGTCAATGAGCAATACAGGTATGATTAATGCTGGAACTCACCCTGGGTCTGATGGGAGTTAACATTTAGCGCAACCCCCTGGGGGTGGGGGGAAAGCTGCCATTATCTTTTACTCTAAAGACTTACTGAGCCTATTTTGTTTCTTCTGCTGAGGTGTAAGATGCAGAATAAGTTGAGAAATCATTATGAAACACTACATTGATTCCACTATGAATTTGTCTAACTCCCTGGCACAGGGGTTTCAGGCATTAGAAAATACATAGTAGTTGGGGCTGGGGTTGTGGCTCAGCGGTAGAGTGCTCGCCTGGCACATGCAAGGCCCTGGGTCTGATCCTCAGCACCACATAAAAATAAATAAATAAAGATATTGTGTCCAACTAAAAAAATAAATAAATAAATATTTTTTTAAAAAAAAGAAAATATACAGTAGTAATCAGAGACCAGGCTATGTCTCAGGAAATCCCAGAGAATAGTTGTTCTTCCTTTTAGTCCATAAAATGCTTCCTGAAAGTTATAAGAAAAAAAAAAAAAAAACTTTTATTGGGAGTGTTTCTTTGATCCTGCATCAGTTTATGAGCAAGTATGAGCAGATGACAAAATCTACTTCTGCTGAACCTACCCTGTATCCCCACCCTAGCATTTCTATAGTAAAACACTTGGAACCTTGCTTTGGAAGATCTGCCTAGATAGCACCTGACCTCACCAAAAAGGTGTGATTTATGGCATGCTGAGTCCAAGCATTTTAATACAATGCCCCCCACCCAAAGCAGAGAAGCTTCAATAAAGGGATGTTATTTTTAAAATAATAATAAAGTCTTGACCAGTGGGCAGAAGAATCCAGAATCCTATTTCCAACCTAAGATGAGATAACCAGATTACCAGGACAAAGACCTCTTTCTGGGCTATCTGTACCTGGTTAAGCTGGATTAGGGAGATCAACAGAATCTGAGACCAGCAGGTATAAGCAGGGCAGAAGCCAACATGGCCTCTCAGCCCTGGCTCTCCTTTTCTGCTCAGGACTACACATCCACTTGTCGGGTCTGTTGGGTCTGTTGTTTTAATCGCCACTGTCTTTCCAACAGAAGGGGGAATAATTGTTCCATCTATCATAGACTTTCTGCAAATCAGGATGATTTATCAGATGCTCTCAGATTTGCCCAATTGCTCTGTCCCTATGGGTAGATGCCTGTCAGCTTACTAAACCTCTCCATACTTCACTTTCTCATCTGTTAAAGGGGATGGTAATAATCTGTACCTACTCATGGTGCCATTGTGAGAACAAAATAAAATTCAAATGATTAAAGTACTTTGCCCTGTGCCTGTCCCATCACAGATGCTCCAGAAGAGTCACATAGACATTATTTAAAACCCTTTCAGGGGCTTTGCCCTCTTGATGTAAGTTAGATGACCCCTAGGAATTAGATGGTGCAGATGGTTGAGAATGTACAACCCAGGAGGGCATCTGGAAGGAATCTGGACCTTCAAAGAACAACATGCTGGCTACCTGACAGGACCCATTAGAGGACCAGGATCCATTATTAAAACAGCTGCCTCAGTGTAAGGGAGCTACCTGATAGTTAGTGCCCTTGTGCCCTATACCTTTGCTATCACTGAGCTTTTTATTTCTGAGTATGTCTTGCAGGAGGAAGTGTCGGGTGGAGAAAGCCTTCAAAAAACTGCCCATTAAGTGACTGTCAGGAGGAGACTCACACTCTGGTCAGGAGGAATGGGCGAAGATCTTTTAGAGGCTCATCAGACAACACAGCTTTGCCCCTGATGCTCTCCCCTTCATTTAAAAAATAAAACAAACTAATTAAAAAAGAAAAGAAATAAAATAAAATTTAAAGAGAAATTAAAGCCATGTGTTTCTGAGAATTTACACTCGGTTCATCAAATCTATTGTTTTCTGAGTGTCGTTTAAAGTCTAATAAAACTAATGAGCCTTCTTTTTTAAAAAAAAAGTTTTTAAAATCCTTTTTCTTAGAAGGACATTGAGAGGCTTTGAAAGCTGTTCCAAGGGTAAAAATAATAATATTAATAATAAATTGCTCAAAACTCTCAACCCCTGCAGGTTCAAAATTTACTTAATACTCTGAGCTCAAGGGATTTGAATTATTACTGGAGTTTATTATATTTTATAATGGGACTTCACAAAAGGGAGAAAGAAATCACGTGAAGGTTCACTAGAGTTCATTGTAAAGTTTGCTTCACAACCATGCTCATAGCCCAGGCTTCCAGGACCCTCTCACTCTGAACCTTCAAAGAAAGCACCCCCTACTTGGCAGGATCCGTGGGGCTAGATAAAGTCAGAAACTGAGAAACTGACTTTTCAGCCAGGATTATTTGGGGCTGGAGATTTAAAGCCAAAGCCCTCCTAGAATGGTTCCCTTGTAGGGCATACAATCTATGTCACATAAAATGCATGATAGTCAGATGACTGTGGAATGAAAAGAGAACATCCCCCCACCCTTGGGATGTGTGCAAAGGAGTGGACTACTGTGATCCCCTTGAACTTTCTATGTTATCATCTGATGACCTCTGGCGGTGGAATTTTTCCCAGCAAGTGCAAATCGAGGCTTCTGAGCCAAGCCATCCCATGTTACATTTTCCTACATTCCCTTCCTTCTGTTTTGTCATTCACATTAAGCAAGGAGCAAGAAACAGTTGTAAACACCCAGAATAAATTGGTGCATATGCCTGACCAGGCTGTCATTTCAAAAAAGTTGCCTGCTGCCTCTCTTTCAGGCAATCTTTGATACATTTCCTGTAAGAAGAAAAGGGAGCCAACATGAAGGATAATGTGGCATCCACAGTTGTTTTCATGCTGCTGCTTTTTCTCAACATCAGACTCCTGAATGGTGAGTAAGAGATTGTCCTGCTCTCTTTTATTGCTGGGGTGTTTATCAAGAAGGTGAAGAGATCATCACAGCTTTCTTGCAATGCAGTTGTGAGAAATAAAAATGCTATGTCATGTGCTGCTAATAAATTATTTGCAACCCTTTTTGCATTAAAATTAATGCAGAAAAATTAATGCAAACTTGTCATTATGCTCTCTGCCTTCTATCCTCATTGAGGAGGGTCATGAAACACTTCTGAGGACCTGAGTTCTAGTCCAGATTCTGCCAGTTGCTGGCTGTGTGACCTTGAGCCAATTGCCCAATCTCTTTGGCTTTCCAAATTCTTAAAGTGAGGACAGTGACATTTCCTCCACCACAGATGAAATAACAAATGTGAAAAATCTTGGAAAAACCATGAAGAGATGTAAAAGACTGCTATTGCATGGTGAGAAACAGATACAGCCAACTCTGTTATCTGCTGATTTGGGAAATAATATCCACAGCTAAATTAGGAGTGTGCCTGTACATTATCCACAGCTAAATTAAGTGTGTCTGTGTACATTTCTGAGTGTCAACCCCTATACATTTCTGAGTGTGAATACTTATAAGCGTACCTATGTGCATATTAACTTTTTATACTGCCTGATTGCAAATGCTCCTCTGTGAGTACCTGTGTTGGTATAAATCTGTGTGTGGGTTTATGCCTGTGTGTGTACCTATGAGAATGTCTGTATGTGTACTCTGTGTGTACATGTATGTGTAATAATATGTACTGTTGTAAGTGTGACCCTGTGTGTATTTCTCTGTGCATGTATGTGGGGTGTGTGTGTGTGTACTTGGGATGTGGGATCTATGTGGACATCTGCCTAACACCTGCATGTGTGATTCCTGTGTGATTGTCCCTGTGTGTCTGTGTATTAAGACAGTCCGTTACATGTGACTGTCTCTAAAGAGGATAAAGGCACACATTGTAATGTCACAACTTTACCTTCCTCTCTGAGTTTCCTAAAAATACTATTGGTGACCAGTAAAATGTGAAAGAGAAGTTTTTGTGAAAGAGAGAGAAAAGGGAAAGCAGAGGTCAGAATCATTCATGAGGGAAATTCTAAGTACTCCAATCATGAACAGTAGCCCCGAGTGTCTTCAACTGTATTACTTAACCATAGACTTTGGGGTTTTTAAATAAACTTTTCTTCCTATGTCACATATTCCTCCTCACTCATAACAAAAACAAACAAAAGGAACCTTGTGTGTTTGCCATGATTCCCAAATACATCATCCTGAAGAAATTTCCCCTAGAAGATGAGCAATGACAAATATTGGCAGAGCTGCCCTAGGCTGACATGGACTGCTTTCACAGGGCCTATAAACTGGCATGTTGCTCAGCTCCCACTGGCATGATTAGCCTGGTATCCTGGGTCCGTCCTGTGCACCATGTTGTGCCATCCCATTCAGTTCTCCTTTCTGGCCAGGTTACCCAGAGAACCCCTTCTTATGCATGTCCCCCTCACAGGGTCTCCTGCAGACTTGCTCTTCCTAGTCTGATGCTCAACTAGGAGTTCTGGCCTAGGATCCTGCCTGAGGGATGGAAAGAAGTACGGGAGGAAACAGTGAGAACCCTCTGAGCTGCTGAGGCCTAACTCAGAGCTCCTCTCTCTCGGCTCCTCATTTATTAAACTGAACACTGGGGCCTTAAACTTGACAGGAAGAAGGAGCAAATGGGAGTTATATAGATGGTTAGTTGGCCTCCCCAGCCCAGCTGCACTGGGGCAAACTCCTAGGATAGCTCAGTTTCTCTTTGGAGTTAACAGTAGCCAAGCAAGAGAAATGGGAACCAGCTTGCCAAGAGCTTTGGGGATTAGGCAACTAAAAAAAAATCCCTCCTCTTGACACTGTATTTTCCATATCACCTTAAGCAGACCTTCCAGCTTCCAGCCTGAGACTGAATGCAGCTCATGGTAGCTCACAGCTCAGAGAGGACCTGCCCAGTATCCTACCTCTTACCATACTCCTTCCCCAAAATGGTCCATAGAATTGCAAGACAGCCCTTTGCCATCTCACCACAAAAAAAACCCAAAGAGGGAGAAAATATAAGCAGAAAGAAGGACTAAAAACCAAGACTCAGAGATGGTAACAGGGAGGATGGGGAGATCCACTAGGCCATTAGGCCAAAGCCAAGGAAAAGTGACAGGAAAGGGGAAGAAGAAGATAAGAGGAGAGAGGGAGGAACTGCTGAGGAACACTCAGACAAAGGGGGCATCAATGATAGATGACAAACTAAAGATGGAGACAGTTGGAGTTAGTGGTGTGAGGATGGAGGAAGACAGAAACCCAGAAGCAGAGATGTGCCAGGGAGCAATGTGTGGGCAAAGGATGCACAGGCTGCTTGTGCCAGAGAAGAAGTCACCTTATATTGTAGCATTACGTTAGCTCTTTAGACTCCATGGGAGGAAGGCATCACACTCTCCAAGCCAAACCCATCCTTCTTGCTCCCCAGGCTCACTCCTCACTGAAATGTTACAGTTGGTCACTGCCCCACGTGAACTGCTGGTATCGCCATCTCAAAACACAACACTCACACATTTACACAGGCACACACCACAACCACCACCAAGCTCTCTCTCCAAGAACACTGTCTGCCCTAGGATAGCACCCAAAGGGTGTTCCTGGGTGCTGAGCCTGTAGGTCTGCTCATCTGAGCCTCTCTCTGCTCTGGGTGTCTTCACTGTGCTGTCACCAGCAGAAGAGTTGAGTGGTTGAGTGGATCTCAATATTAACCCAAATGGCTTGTGACTTATTTTTAGGAGAGTCACCTCCTGGAAAACCTACTATCTTTAAATGTCGTTCTCCTGAGAAGGAAACATTCACCTGCTGGTGGAGTCCTGGGACAGACGGAGGACTGCCTACCAATTACACACTGACTTACCACAAGGAAGGGTAAAATGTTATCTTCTCTCCTATCAAGCCCCACAAGACTGTTCACACATCCAGGCCAAAGTAGAGATGGTTCTGAGTCAGAATTTTCTGGGTGTATACCACAAAGGCTCAAACCCCTGGAGAAAAGGAGTGTCTGTCCACCTTCTCTTGTTAAGGTCCTTTACAAGCTTTCTCAGTCTAGGCAAGCTGATCCACCACATTGGCAACAAAATATTAGCAATGTTTCCATTTACCTGTCACAAGCTTAGGCTGCAGCCCAAGTCTCCATAGAAGTATTTCCTTATAATAATCTTAGACGACCATACGTAAACCCTGTGCCATTTGTAATTTTGCCTAAGTAAACATGTTACTTTTGTAACACGATAGGATTATATAAATCAGCACCATATAATCCTTGACAAATGTGGCACATTAGGTTTTCAAATTTGTTTCACATCCAAGAAAATAAAGAAGTGTATAAGGAAAAGAAGGTCAGTGTTTTTCTTTTATCAAATTGCTGATCCAGAACTGGAGATCTCCTGGAAGGCATGTTTGGATATAATGTTGCCATAAGGACTAAACAAAACATCCCTGGGTGAGAATTGTGCTAAATTCACAATGAGATTCTCCTGGAAATCCTGGAGAATTGGATATATTACTAGTAAAGACAGCTGGTTCACTTTCCAGTAACTGCTCCTGGTTGTACACAAAGCTGTCCTTCCATCTGGGACCCAAAGGGGTGTCATGTAAGCAGATTTTATGAACTCAAACTGGCAACCAAAATCAAATAAACCTCCATCCCTCTGTGGTGTGACTGGATTTGTATCAAAGGGGTGTCATGTAAGCAGATTTTATGAACTCAAACTGGCAACCAAAATCAAATAAACCTCCATCCCTCTGTGGTGTGACTGGATTTGTATCTCCTCATATGAGCAGCCTAATAAGCCACTCGGGGTTAAAATATCTCTTTTCAAAGTCACTTCACTCTGTTACTGATTTGGTTATCTAAAGTATATTGATGCCAGTTTTTATCCTCTTGAAATCTTTTTTTTTTTTCCCAAATGTAATTCAACATGTAAGTACAATAAATGCTGCATTGTAGATGGCCACACTATGTGTGTATGCAGGTGAAAGTCCCAGTTCCCTGAGGTGATATAATGTTACTGCCTGGGTATGGCAGTGCCTTGGCCATACCCATATCCTTGCAGCTCAGGATTTATTATCAGACAATGCATATCTCAAAGCTCGCAAAAGCACTATACAGAGGGAAGGGTTTCCGAGAAGCAGAATAGCTGAGACCCTAAAACATCCTTTCCAGCCCTTTCTCTCTCTGCCCAGCTGATATGCACTTAAAATGTCAAATCTCCAAAAGCCAGTGGTGTTAGAGTTGTTATCACTTTCTTATTTCCTCCTAATATGTTACTCATTGCAGAGAGACCATCACCCATGAATGTCCAGACTACAAAACCAGTGGCCCCAACTCCTGTTACTTTAGCAAAAAGCACACCTCTATATGGACAATATACATCATGACAGTAAATGCCACCAACAAGATGGGAAGCAGTACCTCGGATCCACGCTATGTGGATGTGACTTATATAGGTAAGGGGAAGGAGAGGGGTGAAGAATTTGTTACTCCATTATGTATTTACCAATAGTTAAATTCAATTGAGTCTTCTTTGCTTATGGGCCGATCCCTGACCAAAAAAAAAAAAAGATGAGAAAATTCACAATATCCTTGTCAACTGAGCATTTCAAATTACTTTTGTGGATTCATTCATTCAGTAAGTTTGGCACTTGGGATCCTTATGTGCTTTCCTTTGAACTCAGGGGCACTCGACCACTGAGCCATGTCCCCAGCCCTATTTTGTATTTTATTTAGAGACAGAGTCTCACTGGGTTGCTTAGCTCCTCACTTTTGCTGAGACTGGCTTTTGAACTCACAGTCCTCCTGCCTCAGCCTCCTGAGCCACTGGGATTACAGACATGCGCCCCATGCTTGGCAACAATGCTTGTTTTATGTATGCTCTCCTTGTTAATGTTTCTCTCCTGCACTGACCATATAATCAATGTCCCTTTCTACCTTGATAAGCTGGGATTTATTTATTTTATTCTCCCCATGGAAGACAAAGCTATTCCCTGTAGAGCAGCAGTTAGAAGAGATTCATCTGATTCTGCATCCATAGAAATTGCTGCAATTACTTTACTCCCACCATGAATTCTCAAAATACATATATTTCTTAACAATCCAAGCTATTATTTTACAAATACAGAATTGGCTTGATGCTTGAGCATCAAGCTGAAAACCAAGATCACAAGTACAATATATGGAGAAGTCATTAGCAAAGTAGAAAAAAAAATCAACCTGGAAGATATTCCTTGATTTGCATGATCATCTTTAAGCTTCAGGGCAAGTGGGCATAACTTCAATGGCCCTTATGGTTCAGTGAGGGAGAAAAAGAAATCATAGAATAAAAAATGGCTGGGTTCATTACATATGTTGGGTATTAATCTATGAAGTTGCTAACTAGATTCAAGGTCTCTTGAGTCTCCTGATATACACAATACTATCCAACAAGGAAGATCAGGCTGGGACCCTCCACTATTCAACTGCATATAATTCCATTGACATATTGTCAGTGGTTGATCCTTAAAAACTAGAAAAGCTTGCAATACCAATTGACACACACTTGAATATTTTTCCCTTACAAAAATTATTGGAGTAAGCATTGGGGTAGAATTTGAATTTGATCTTAGTTTAAGAAAATCAGAAATGTAATCCTACTGACAAGTAGAAATAAAATAAATTCTGATCATATAAATTCCCTTGAAATATGAAGCCTTTAAGATGCTAAATGACAGATAATTACATTTTGTGGGCTCTTTCTTTAATTGCCTAGTCCTCAAAAGTTATAATATTTGAGAACAAAACAACAAAAAACAAGAAAAACTTTGGAATAAACAAATGCTGTAATGAAATGATCCACAAAACAAAGTATTCATTAAAGAAAAGCTGTATATTTTAAAAATGAAATCAACAAGTTCATATTGAATTTGCCTTGACTCTGGAAAACTAATTCTCTGATGAAAGAATGTGCATTGGACTATATTTTTCCAAGTAATAAAAGAAGTGTTTGTGGAACTCATATAACCCTGCAGCATGCTGTATTGGTGGCAGGCCAAGAGAGTTCACTTAAATATCTGTTTCCACCATGGTACATTTTCTACCAGCTTGACTCTCATCCAGTGATAACTTGTGATACAGGTTATCCCTATAAAGCATTGGCCACTAGTTGCTCAGAAATCAATTTCTTTGGGTTCATATTGCTGGGTAATATTTAGCTATGTTGGAGACTCTGGAAAATAGCAGTTCCCAACTGGGGGCTATTTGCATTTCACAGGATGTCTGGCAATGTCTAGAGATGTTTTTGAATGTTGAGACTTGAGGAGGGGCAGGGTATTACTGACATCTGTGGGGTAGAAGAGAAGCCAATGCTAAGCATCCTTCCGTGTGTAGGATAGCCCCCCAGGGCAAAGGACTAGCTAGTCCAAATGGTGAAGGAATTTTGCTTTAAAGAATTCATTCTGGATATTTACTTAGACTTTTGTACATGCATGTTTTTTAATCACAGATATTGCTCAGTATGTGCTTAACTTAATGCTTCTTTTAATTAATTGATATTTCTTTAGTAAGTACATATAGAATAATCTTTCTTAGGAGTTCATATGCATTAGGATTTATGGAAGCTTTTCTAAAGCTCATTTTTTAGATAAATGTAAGTCACAATGCCAAGTATGCTATTCTTACACACACTCTCTTTCCCACCTGGTATAGAGACTGATTTCTGGAGGCAATAAATAAAAGGAGAAAATGTTACTGACCAGCAGGAGTGAGACTAGGGTAAGACAAATTGCACCCTAGGCAGTTCAGTTTTAGGGAGGTGTTCTCAGGACCCTGCACTTTCAGGAATTGAGAATGATGCCTCCATCATTTTATTATTGTGGTAGAATACATGTAACAACAGTTACCATTGAAAGTGTACCATTAGTTCATTGTCAATGTTATGCAACATTTATCTAGTTCTAGCTCCCAGCCTAGGGAAACAAGTGACTTACCATTGTTTCCCTAAAGTCACATCATCGTGAATGGAAATGTCATACCTCCTACACGCTCATTCCCTATTTCTCCCTCTCCCAGTCTTTTGTGACCCTCATCTTCCTTCTGTCTCCATTTGCCCAGCCTGAATATTGTACATTTATGGGATCATACAATAGATGACTACACCACATTTGATCCATTCATTGGTGGGTGGACATTTGTGTTTTTCCACCTTTTGGCTATTATGAATAGTGCTGCCGTGAATATTCATGTACAAGTTTTTGCCTGAACATCTTTTCTTCAGTTCCTGGGGGCATGTATCTAGGAATGAAATTGATGAGCAATATGGTATTTCTATATTTTGCTTTTTGAGGAACTTTCAGAGTATTTTCCATAGCAGTTTATATTCGTACCAGAAGGTTCCAACTTCTCTACATCCTTGCCAACATTTATTTTACACTTTTTTGAATTCTAGGCTTTCTGGTAGTTGTAAAATGGTATGTCACTATGGTTATGACTTGTATTTCCCAGAAGACTAATGGCATTGAGCATTTTTTAATGTGCCAAGATTTTTGCAACTTTTGCACCTCATTTGCCTCAACTGCATCCCAAGCCCACTCTCCAGCCCCTGGCATCACACAGAGCTGCTCACAGCCATGGCAGAGTAAAATGGTAGAAAAAGTTGATTCTAGACCACATAGATCAGGATTCAAATGTCACTTTTACTGTAATTTCCCCTCCTCTAAGCCTGTTTTCTCCTCTGTAGAATGGGTACAGTAATAGCACGGTATGGAGTTAGTTGGAGACATTGAATGATATGATGCAGGGAGAGAGTTTTATGCAGCAACTGGCATGTAGCAAGCACCCAAAGACTGTTTGTGATCATTTTGCTGAAAACATTTGCAGAATGAAGGAATGGAACAACAAGTTGTTATGAGGTCACCAAAGAGATCATTGCCAAAAAGTCCAACTTTTAGGCACATTGTGATAACTAGTATCTGAAAGAATGAATTCCATTCACCATCAGGGCTAACGTGTATTGGATGTGAAATGTAAATGAGGAAGCAAAGGTAGAATCTGTAAACTTATTACCTAAGTCATAAATATGAATAGATGGTTCACAAAACATGTGTGCCATCAAAGAGAATCTTGCTCCTAGCTGAGAAAAAATAAGTTTTCAAGTCCCCTCCCAATAATCTTTCATCCTAACTCCCATTTGCAAATTCCAGCTTAACTTGTATCACCTGGTCTCTGCCATCATGAAAATAATTTGCGTATATATTTGACCTTGGTTGCTGGAAAGTGAAGAACACATCAAAAACAAAAATTCAGCTGCTTGCTAGTCTGACCATACTAAACTCAAATTTAAGTACAGATAGGATTGGTCACATACTAAGAGGCAGACAGCATAACTCCTGTCTTCTAAGGGATTATAATGTGTTGGGGAAAGAAGGCTGGTAAGTTGAAAATGCAATCCATGATAGAAAACTGTAGTGGCAAATAAAAGTTGTGAACACTTAGTGCAACTGGAATTTCTTTTCTATGTACAGTTGAACCAGACCCTCCTGAGAACCTGACATTGGAAGTGAAACAGCCAGAAGACAGAAAACCATATCTGTGGATAAAGTGGTTCCCACCCAGCCTGGTTGACGTAAGATCTGGTTGGCTCACACTACAGTATGAAATTCGATTAAAACCTGAGAAAGCAGCTGAGTGGGAGGTGAGTCAAACAGAATGTTTTTGAAGAATCCATATTCGTTAGCAAGGATGAACCCCTCACGGCTATCAACAGATCATTTCTTCAACTAGTGGGCCACCATGTTGGCCTACCCAGGCAGATGTAACCCACCCAGATGTGGGAAGGCCTTCTCTCCTCTCTTGGAATTGAATGGAGTCCATCTTCATGGCTCTCCCAGAAATAGTTTCTTGCACTTTACAGCCTTCTCCCCGAGGCTCCCCACCTGCCTTTCTAAGTATACCTTAGATCTAGACACCTATGAAAGTATGTAAATTACACTGGGGCAGGAGGTAGGGAGAATCTTACTGTAATTTATCCATAGGCAATTTCTGTATTTGTAAGGAAATACTTTCAAATACTTGAATGTAAAAAAGAAATAATGCAGTAAATTGCAGGCATTATGATATTCTACCCTCAAATACATTAGTATATGGGTCTTTTTTACAAAGAGCATTTCCAAATATATGCCAAATAATAGAATCACATATAGAAAAATTAAATTCCTGAATAACATGTAGTATCCAGTCCATCTTTTAATCCCTCCCTCAGTGTTTCAGGAATTTCTTTAATGGTGGCTTGTCCAAACCAAAATCCACTTCAAGACCACACATAGTGCCTGGTTGTTAAATCTCTTTAGTATTAATGCACTCAGGAGGCTGGGCCACTTGTCCCATAGAATATTTCATCTTCTTCATTTATCTGATTAATTCTCTGTAATGTCAGTTAATTTCTCTTTCCCCAAATTTTCTGGAGATTGGAGCAGATTCAGATTGCACAATTTGGGCCCAGCATACTTCAGAGGTGATATTACATGCTTCATAATGCATCATCAGCACCATCAGCACCAGACACAGCCATCTGGTTGACCAACCATTAATGATGCTTAAATTGACGCCTGTGTTGGGGAGATGAAAATCCGGTCCCTTATTTATAAACTCATGTTTCATTTGGTTTTTACAAATATCACAATTTCACAGCAATTTTACAGTTGCTTCAACATACATGAAGACCTTGTTCTCTTCCAATTTATTATTTTAATACCAATTAATAATCCTTAAATCAGTTACTTCTCTGGAGTTTATAAACTATTTTCCAATTTTATTGTCCCTTATACATTTATAAAGTTGATTTATTAACATTTATCATGTCTTCCATGCAGCAGAGTTGGAGGGGTATGACATATTTGTCATTGTGAAACAAAGTTACAAGTGGAGAGAGAGAAAACCTTTGAAATTTTAATTCTTGCTCCACAGGAGTCTTATTAAGGAAGTTGGGGCCTAATCCCACATGATGGAGATTAGGGCCTACATTTTCTTCTATTAGACACAGGGTCTCTGGTTGTATTCCTAAGTCCTTGATCCATTTTGAGTTGAGTTTTGTGCATGGTGAGAGAGAGGAGTTTAATTTCATTTTGTTGAATATGGATTTCCAGTTTTCCCAGCACCATTTGTTGAAGAGGCTATCTTTTCTCCAGTGCATGTTTTGGCATCTTTGTCTAATATAAGATAATTGTAGTTTTGTGGGTTAGTCTCTGTGTCCTCTATTCTGTACCATTGGTCTACCAGTCAGTTTTGGAGCCAATACCATGCTGTTTTTGTTACTGTTGCTTTGTAGTATAGTTTAAGGTCCGGTATAGAGATGCCACCAGCTTCACTCTTCCTGCTAAGGATTGCTTTAGCTATTCTGGGTCTCTTATTTTTCCAGATGAATTTCATGATTGCTTTTTTTCATTTCTATGAGGTATGTCATTGGATTTTTTAAAGGAGGGATGGATCTGAAAGGGTAGCACAGAATGGTGAAAGCAGAGTATCCTGTAGGTATCATCATCTGGCCTGATGTTTCCAATGGTTTATTATTTAGTGGCAAAGTCCCTTTCCTCAAAACAAAAGCCAGAAGTGACTTCTGTTTTCCTTGTTCTTCCTTAGACCCATTTTGCAGGGCAACAGACACAATTTAAGATTCTCAGCTTATATCCAGGACAGAAATACCTTGTCCAGGTTCGCTGCAAACCAGATCATGGATTCTGGAGTAAGTGGAGTCAAGAGAGCTCCATTCAGATACCCAGTGGTGAGTGCCTGGACTGCCTTTGCTTATATTCCTAAGTATTTTTAGATGGTTAATTTGCATGTATTAACTACTAATAGAGAAACTGTTTGAGCCTTATCCAGAATAATAAATAGAGGTGGGTTTTTAATTTCTTTATCCAACACAAAGACATTGAGCAGGGTTGCATTTCTCCCTGAATGACTGTCAGTGAGGACCAGTTTCCAGATAATGTACAGATGTGGACTTTAAATGTCTCAGAGGGTCAAATGGTCAATCATTATGCCCTTTCCATATGCCTCATCCCTAGCATTTAGAGGGTCCAGTCAGTACCATCATCTAGTTCTTCCTGAGTTTGTAGGGTATTATCCCATCTCAAAGTCACAAACTCATGTTTAATCTCTGATGAGAATTATATGTTGTTCTATTATCCATGGGCACAGTACATGAGAGGCCCTCAGATCTAACAAAGTGCCATTAAATATAGTGGCTTATATTCCACAAAGGGAAAGAGCCATTTTGCATTCCTAAAGTACTTTATAGTTTCCAGTATCTTTATCCCATTTGGTGCTCCCAACCCTCTCATGTATTTGGAGAGAATATAATTACCATTAGGAATTAAAAGTGAGAAAACGAAATTCAGTGAATTTAGGTCTGTAAACTTGCCTGGCCAAAGTATCAGGGCTTCATTGGCTTGGCATGCTGGGAAGAACACTGAACTGTGAGTCAGTACATACATCTAGACTGGTACTAGCTCATACTAAAAAAAAATCACAGGGCCTAGAGGCAGGAGGCCTGGGTTCAAATCTCAGATTGCAACTCTATTCTGACATGTCCTTGGGTAAGTCACTCTTTGATTCTCAGTTTCCTCATCTATAAAACAAGGCAATGTGGGTAGAGAGCTTAATGTGATTGATGGTTTTTAGTAAGAACTTTTTTTAGTGTTAACTTTTATTATTATTACTGCAACTTACCATGGATTTCTTCTTTAAGAATCAAATAAAAGAATATGTGAATGGACTTGAAATTTTATATTGTAAAATATGTGCAACATATTAAAATATTAGTAATATTGGAAAATATAAGTTGGATTGCTCTTAAATCAAAAGTGATAAAGCTAGAAGAAAATCATGTGTTCAAAAGTTTCACACATTAGTTTGGCTGCTTTGTTTTTAATGATACTATATGTGATCAAAGCTTTCTGGCCTGTTTGTTTTTTAGACTTCACCATGAAAGACACAACGGTTTGGATCTTTGTGGCTGTTCTTTCTGCTGTCATCTGTTTGATTATGGTCTGGGCAGTGGCTTTGAAGGGCTATAGGTACTTCATTATCTCTAAGCCCTTCTCTCAATCATGATTGTCAGGAATAACAGCAAAAAAGATAATGTGAAGATAATGGAAACCTACAGATAACCCAAGGCCTAATTTTAACCATTAGTTGCAGTGTGCTTGCCAATTTAAAAAAAAAAAATCATTTTATCAGTGCTTTCTTTAAAAAAAAAAAAGTAGGAAAATGAACTCACTTGAAGCAGGTGTTCACAGCTGTGAAATAGTAAAAATCTGGAAAGAACAGCTGAAATTAAGAGAAGCAAATTGTCCAAATAATTCATGAGTTTCAAAATCAGTCTTCTAAATTAGAGAAAATTTTGAGAGGTCTCTGTAATTATTATCTTCATCGCTTATTATTAGTTTAATGTAGTCCTGATACTCTTTTTTATAGTTCCCATAGCAGCTATTTGAAGATAAAAATAATTTTTCAAAAATCACAAAGCAAAAAGATGAGTAATTTATTCAATCTCCCATATTATTTTATAGCATGATGACCTGCATCTTTCCACCGGTTCCCGGGCCAAAAATAAAAGGATTTGATACTCATCTGTTGGAGGTAAGTGCCAGAGGCAGAGAATGAAATGTGACTCACTACTTTGTTATAATTAACTTCACAAATGCACACACAATCCCATCAATCCAGCCAGGCTGTCTCCTTATTGGCATACGTTAACAGAGAGAGGTGTGAGGGATAAGAGTGCTCACTATCAGATATGGAAAGTCCAAGGGCAAGGAAAGAAAACATACAAACACATGTTGATGCTGTACACTGACCCAGGGCTGCTCAGAAGCACAGCTATTATGATTTTGTACAAATAATTTGGAAAGGAGGTGAATGTTTTGATTAATACAAAATAGGAACCCACCTTCACTTCCATCATATGGGACAAGCTTCCCTTTGAATTTTCTTTATATAAGTCCAAAGTAATAGAATGGTCTATTTTCCCTATTGCTCAGTTTGAGCACTCGCTTGAGACTAGGTTAGTAAAATAGTAGTGTTGTTTACCAAAGCGTATTTAGACTGTTTTTAATGAAAAGAGAGATTAGAACTTTTTTTATTTCTTTTTAAGTTGAAATAGATAATTTCAATTCGACAGAAACCTTAACAGTGACATATGTTAAATCTATTCCCTGTAGATGAAAGCAAATATCACTTGATCTGGTTATATTATGATTGATAGTGCAAGAAATTGAAAAGTGACTCACAGAGAATTTGGCTTGTCTGTATTTTCTTTGTTTGCAAATATCAGAGCAGTGATAAGAGCCCAGGAGTTTGGCTCCTAAACCAGTGTTCTTACCCCACCATTCAGTCTAGCTTTGACTTTTACAGAGCCAGCATGAATGCCTTTGCTAACTAAAGTAACCACTGACTAGCTCACAAGTCAACTGACTAAATCAATCACTAACAATTCATCTAACTAAATTTACTGACTAGCTCACAATTCAACCTCCTGGCCACAGAGACAGCATAGCCACTTGAGGGTTAGGAATATTAATATCCTTCTTTCCATTATCTATCTCTACTCCTCCAAAGAACCCTCTCAGATAGGTCGTATTATTCTTATTATTAAAATGAAGAAGATGAAGTTATGGGAGCAGCTTGTCCAAAGTCATATATACCCTATATGTAATCAAGCCAAGAACGAAACGAGGCAGTAGTACCTGACCTAAGAGCACTGGAAAGAAAAGGGGAAGTTAGAGGAAGAAGAGGCAGAAAAGAAGAAGGAGGAGGGAACAGGAGAGAGGGAAATATGGAATAGAAAGAAGAGGTGGGGAAAGAGGAGAAGGAGGAATGAGATGTGGGGGAAATGGAATAGAAGGAGCAGAAAAGGTGGGATTGGAAAAGGGAGAAAGGAAAGAGAAACAGGAAAAGGAGAAGGCAGAGAATAGCAGGAGAAAGGAAAGAATCAACCTATTATCACTCTAGAAAGTGGTGGAGCAGGTGAGGAGGCCAGCGATGACATCTCGGAGCCACTCCGCCAATGAGTACCAGAGTCAGCTTCTCGCCTCAGCATTGTGGTTTCAGATGTTCCACAAGCTTCTTTTATTGAGTAATTTTATGTTTATTGTATTGTGCATACTACTTTCCCATTAAACCGATGATCATTATTGTTTAGACTGAATAAGTTAAAAATCACGAGCTGACTTAAAAATATTTGATGAGTAACACCCAGAATGTGATTATAGATGGCCTGGCACACGATGCCTGGAGTTTGGAAAATTCCAGACAGCTCTTACCACACTTCACCTGATCAAGGTGCTGAACAGATGCCATGTTGCCAACTATGATGCCAACTGGGCATGTGATGAAGCTAATAGCCATCTTTCCTTGTGTCTGTGTTTCATAGAAGGGCAAGTCTGAAGAACTCCTGAGTGCCTTGGGATGCCAAGACTTTCCCCCCACTTCTGACTGTGAGGACTTGCTGGTGGAGTTTTTAGAAGTAGATGACAGTGAGGACCAGCAGCTAATGCCAGCACATTCGAAAGAACACCCAGGTCAAGGTGTGAAGCCCTCACACCTAGATCCTGACAATGATTCTGGCCGGGGAAGCTGTGACAGCCCTTCCCTTTTGTCGGAAAAGTGTGAGGAACCCCGGGCCAACCCCGCAACTTTCCACACTCCTAAGGTCATTGAGCAGCCTGAGAATCCCAAAACAAATATTCCCTTCACCTGTGACCCCCACAGCATAAGTATGGAAGGCAAAATCCACTACTATCATGCTGGTGGATCCAAATCTTCAACCTGGCCTTTACCACAGGCTGCCCAGCACAACCCCAAGTCTCCTTACCACAGCATTGATGATATGTGTAAACTGGCTGTGGACCCTGCAGGTGCACTGGCCATGTTGTTGGACAAAGCAGGCAAAGATGCTTTACGATCCTCTAAAACCATTGAGACTGGAGGGGAGGAAAAGGAAGACAAGCAGAAGGAGATGGAAAAGTTCCATTCCAAGACTGAGCAAGGCACAGCCTGGCTGCTGCCCCAGGAAAAAGCCCACTTTATCTCTGCTAAACCCCTGGATTATGTGGAGATTCACAAGGTCAACAAAGATGGAGCTCTGTCATTGCTGCCAAAACAGAAAGAGAACAGTGACCAGACAGAGAAGCCCGGGGCTCTTGAAACCAGTAAGGAGTATGCCAAAGTTTCCAGGGTTATGGATAACAACATCCTGGTGTTAGTGCCAGACCCACATGCTCAAAGCATGGCTTTGTTTGAAGCATCGGTCAAGGAAGCTCCGCCATCATATCAGCAGAATCAAGCTGAGAAAGACCTGGCCTGCTTCACAGCAACACCAAGCAACTGCAGACACCCCCAGGGCGGGCTGGATTACCTGGATCCTGCATGCTTCACGCACTCCTTTCATTGAGAGTTGACTAATGGAAGGTTTGGGTAAAATGTGATTTTTCTTCAGGTAACACTACAGAGTTACAAAATGCCATCTGCGAGCTGATGCTCGAGAATGTGGGTAGAATGACACTACTTCGCTCTTTTTCATGCTCCGTGTCTGACCACTTGCCTCTTTTTCCAACTGCTGATTTCCAGAACAAGTCGTTTTGTGTCCTGTGATTTGTAGATTTACTTTTTTGCTATTAGTTATAAAAAATTGTATTCAATGAAATAAAAGCACATAGCTTAGTATTCTTGAGGGATAGTACGATTTAGGTACATCCTCTGGAAAAGGCTTTCATGGTTCAGTAGGTGACAGAAGGAAATGAAATGGTCAAAATGGTAGCACGGGAAGGTGACAGATAGGTGGGAAATGCCATGAAAACCACTTCTGAAAAACAGTTCTTTAATCTTGACACTCTTCTTTCTTTAGGATTACCCAAATATGACCCATGGAAAGAACACATGCATTCCAGCATACCTGACGAGTTGTTTACACCTGTTCCTATACCTTGACACATTGCCAAGATGCAAGTAAAATGATGCCTCCGATTTTTTCTTAAGATACTTTGAATATGTTAAGCATAGATTTCACACCCCTAAATTTTACTTCATTCCAAAGCCTCTAAAGAATATAGTTTTGGAAAGTAAAATTTTATTATATAAGAGGCAAATGAATTTCATGTGGCAAATTCTTTTAGAATGTTTTCCTGCAGCAGAAAAAAAAAATATTATATTCCCTAGTCTTTCCTTAGTGAAAAAAAAAATCCCAAAAGATGAACTCTACTCTAAAAGATAATCACAGCATGATGCTAATAGAACTACTGCCTTACTGTACATACGAATTCTACTTTAATACAAACCCATAAGTTTAGCAATGTATTTTTGAAGACTATTTTTCTATTGCTGAGGTAAAATAAAAGACTATTTTCTATTTTCCCAGTATAGCTCTTTATGTATTCAGTGGGTACAGTATTTTCTGCTACAAGGTTATAATTGAGCATTTACAGTACATAAAAGTGTATGCAGTCCCTGTTTGTAGAGTAAAATGTCATACCAACCCAAAGCCCACTGAGAAATATGAAGTGGATTACAAAATCCAGTTTCCATTACAATGGAGTATAGTTTCTCTGATTCTTTTTCTCTCCAAGATACTTTAAGCAACAACGAACAACAACAACTTGGGTTCAAAGAATTCTCCACAGATCAGAAATTATTTCTCCTGTGAGTTTAGGGCAACTCTGAGGCTTCTGCCCATCTATGGTTGAATCTTCATAAAGCTACCATGAAAAAGGACAGTGGTGATTTTAACATGCTGTTTCAGAGACAGAGGCTTGGTCTTGTTTTGTTTTTCTGAGCAATCTTGGGCAGCAAAAGAATTTTAAGCAAAACCAGGAGTTAGTATCTCTCCTAAATAGATCCATTTGCAAAATCTTGGTAGAGATGGAGACAGCACTTACATGGGCAGTGTCCAAAAACGCTCTAGAAAGCCAGGCATTTGTAGAGTAATAGGAAAAGCTCCAAAGGTCAGGTATGGTAATGAGAATCTGTAGATCAGTTAGTTAGCTAGTTTGTTAGTTTGTTTGTTTGTTGTTTGTTTTTGACCCCCTGAGAGTGGTCAAAAGCTGGGATCACCATTTTAAGAGGAACATCTATGAATCATTGACTTTACAAACAGCTTCCCTCTATTTTTGATTTCACCTGAGGACAAATCCACTTTCCAGCCACTCACTAATGACATAAAAGACTTGAGCTCACCCTGGTGAGTCAAGTATTCCACCCCAACAAGTCCATATTGATAAGAACTGGATCCAGCTTCCCGGATGATTAAAAGTGAACACACTGCCAGTGCTCTATTTTCCCAATACATAGACAACTCTTATGATTTGAGGAAGCATTTGGGAGAGTTGTCCAAGCTCATTAATTCTCTAGATCCTCAATACTCAGTGTCTGAGAATCAAATGTGTCAGTATCAACTGGACACTGTATGAAAATCAAAATCTTGGACCCCAGCCCAGCCCTACAGAAATGGAATCTGCATTTAACGAAGATCCCCAGATGATTCACATGCTCATGGAAGTTTAAGAAACATCCCCCTAGACTAATATTTCCACTAAAGGTTATTTTAGTGCATGGAAACAATCCTCTCATGGAACGTATAGGTCAAGTTACATTTAACTCTCAATGAACAGTGCTATATATAAGAATAAGGCAAAAAAAGAAACGTATTAGTGGTTTAAGATGCACATAATGGAGAATCTGAGAATGACCTGCAAAAGTACATAAAATTTCCATTAGGGCCAGAGAATACAGTCCACTTAAAAGATGTTGATCATAGACAATGACCTTCAAGACAATTTAAACTATACTTTTCCCAAGTAGACCATTCTTCTCCAACATATGTATATATAGGTTTTTATTTATAAAATTATGACCATAGCAAAGACAAAAACTTGTTTGTGTGTGTGTAATTGTGTAGATCTTATAGTTTGAAGTTTTTAAAACAATCTTCTTTTGACATATAATTTTATGTATATAAAAAAAGGTTATTGCCGGCTAACGACAACCCAAATCACAAAGACACAAATTAGCACTCATTAGTCAAAATTATGGTTCTGTAATCATTTGGCACTCTTTCGATTGTTTTCATGATATAACATATTTTCTTTGATGGAAACAGCTGATTGAATGGAAGAACGCATACTCTGGGTTCTTCTCCTGTTTTGCCCTGGAGAGATGGAGACCTTCTTAAGGTCTCTTTTTTTTTCTGAAGATGTTAGACCAAATAATTTCTAAAGGCTTTTAAACTGTGATTCCTTGATTCCATGACTCACTGAATATTTTCCTACAAAGATCATTCAAACAAATGCCTTGTATCTTAATATGGCATCAAATAATTGCTTTTCATTATATGAATACCAGGTAATCTTCAGTGATCTGCTCATCATACTTTACTTTTTAAATCATCAGCCCCAAATGATCTTAATGTATTGCAAATTCATTTTCTAAGTAATATAAATACAGAATCATATTCTTAAATTATGTGCAAATATGCATAGAGAGAATAGGCATAAGATAGAAAAGAGACACTAATCTGTAGAAAAATTATCTTTCAGTGAATCAAGCCGTGCTCATTTCTGGCTGAGTCCAGCAGCCCCAAATCTCTTTTCTTTTATCTATTCATTTTTTTTCCACTTATGATAGCTTGTAAACAACCATTGCCCAACTGACTTAAGGTCATACTTTGATAAACAAGTACCTAAATATTCAAGTTACGAAGCTTATGAAACTTATGGTTGATTTATGGACACTTACGACCAAAGTAACAAAATGTCCTATTTAAGTTTTAATTTAATGTATATAAGACACCCTAACATGAGCACAAGTTATTATCAGCTGCCATTGATACTTAGCAGACTCGACATTTTCCTAAGTGCCTAAGACCATCTCTGGTAGTCAGTTATGAACTGAATACTCACTTTAACTGGTTTGGTCTGAGGAATCAATCTCCAGCTGCTTGTGTAAGATCAAAGCATTTTGACTCCTTGCCCTGTGGTGACTGAAATGAATAAACAGGCAAACCTTGAGTTAATGAGTGACCTGAGGCTGAGTTCCAGGGAGCAGTTTGTCTCTGGAAGAAATCTGGCTCTCGCTCTTTTGAGCTGCCCTCTGCTGCCCATCATTTGCATTTGCAGAAAGACTTGGGCCTGCCTTGCCAACTTCCCTATCTCCTTAGAGAATAAAGAAACAGATTTGTATGTTTTATAAAAGTGCCTTTCTTTATTTTCTAAAAAAAAAAAAAAAAGAGTTGTCACTTTGCAAGAAATTTGTCAGAAAGTAAAACTGACCTTAAGTAGATTTTGTTTTTATGCAAATGTTGCATAAAAAAAATGAAGAAATGGAAAGAGAAGTCAGAAAGAATGACAAAATGGCCTAAGAATTAACCAGCAAAATGTTCAGTAGATTTTTGTGTATTGTTCCAAAGAACCATCATAGAGCATATGTTAACAGTGTGACTTACTTTGCCTGACAAGAAATTGAGTCTGGCTATGATGTGGGGATAAACCTGCCACCCACTCAAGACAATCCATTTTAAAGCATATTGTTGTGCTTTTAAATGTCACTGAATTGCATGCCAGAGCCTCAAAAGAACAATGTGTGCACTTTGAAACTTTGCACAGACGGAAAAATACTAATAACTCTGAGTTATCACCCCCAGTGTTGTTAAAAATAGATAAGCCATTGATGAAAGCCTTGTGTGTACTTCAGTGAATAAATGTCCTTTCCTGTCTTTTTTGTTCAAGCACAATATTGTCATTGCTGGGATAGTGACTTGGCATTCAATGTCCAGGTCTAGCTCCTATCACTGCCACTGAATAAACTATATGGACCTTTAAATTCTGGCCACCAATTTTCTCACCGGGTTGGCCAAAAATATTTCTAGGATTTCTTCTAGCTCTGTCTTTGATTCTCATAATCTAAGTAAAATCCAAGAGTTCATGTCCAAGGTCCAGGTACCCCACAGGAACACATTGCTGACCTGCCCTTGAACTGCCCAGTGAACTCTGAAGACAGTGTGTCTATAAAAATGCTTAAGAGACAAAGTCAGCTCCATTCCTTCAACCCAGTTGAATTTAATCCTCCCCACTCCTCTTCCTTCCTGGTGTTATGTACTTCTAGGCTTTTTATTCCTTCTCCCCAGGGCCTGTTATTTCTCCCAAGTGTTAATCATACCTAGTAGCAAGAAACAAAATTATTTTTTAAAAATGAACTTTAATTATGCAAAGAACTAGTCAAATGTTAAATCAGGCACAGATATCCAAGCCCAAGTTGAGGATCACAAGTACACCCCACTGAGAGATTTGCATGCTTAAAGATTTAAGCCCATATTCACTCTTTAATTAATTTGGTGGCCATCTATAAGTTCAAGCTATCTTTATTACTAGGCACCAGAGGTCTTAAGGAGAAACTTAAAAACAC